TTTTCTCTTGTATGTGGATTCTGGCTTTTAATGAACCACATTTTTAGGATGAAAAATTGTGGGAAAAAAACGTGATGAAAACCATCAGAGAATCTATCAAACATATACTTGGTATACTGAAAGTAAGATTAAACTAGTATAAGCCTTTGTTTATATTTTAATAGAGTTACTTTAATTGAATGTGGCATAATTATGACAACTTTTACTTTTTCTAATAAGTTGTTTTCCTAAACATATGTCATCTTTCACATGTTAACTTGTGATATGATAGAGTTAATTCCTATTTACTTCAAAATTATGTCTAGTTGCCATATTACATAATTTAAAAATAAAAGTCACTTAGAAATAGATTCATGAAAAAAATATTTATTGTAATTTGGGGAAATCAGAGGCCTCTGAGAGAAAATAGGTCTGGAACCATATTCTGTCCTGGCTTTTGCCTGTCTTCCTTTGTTTTTTCTAGGTGCCATTGAAGTGACCAGCTCTCCTCTCTCTGGTGACTTTTCAGAATGCCGAGGTCTGTCAGGGGCTTGAAATCAATGGAGCTGGTTTACTTTGCATGGCAAACTCTGAAACCATGAAGCAAAATAAATCTCCATTGTTCCTTTGGGATGTTTCACTACAACAATGAAAAGTTAACATAGAACTTAAGGGCTTATTGTTTCCTTTAAATAAAAACATGCCTCCATTTCCTATGCTGCAATCTCCACCTAGCTCTAAAAACAACAACAACAACAACAACAACAACAAAAACTCAATACTGAAACAAAAAAAACCCAAATTATGCCATTAGAAAATTATATTAAATGTAGTCACATTTCAAAGTAAAGAGTATATGGAACACTTATTTAACAATTTGCCAGATTGTAGTTTACTATAGGAGAGGAATAGATAAGGCAGAAAGCTGATTAGCCATTCATAGAGAACTCTTTGTAAAGGGATCTATGAACTCTTTAAGTATAATAATAACAATAGCAAATTCAAGTTGTTCACTATGGTACAATTTTTCCATGAGACTAGATTATATGAAGGAGCTAATCACACGGCAAAGATGAAAAAGAGTGGACGGAGTTCTGGGAAACTGCTCAGAAACACTTTCTTGCTTCTGCCAAATTAAAACCAATAGGGTTACCCCTAGGATGAAAAAGATATACACTGTGTTTCCTTTTGCCAGTGGAGGGGTATTCATTCCTATCATTTTTGACACTAAGCTAGGAATCACAGTAATACCATGACTCCTATTTGATTCAGTTCCTCATATTTGAAATCTGTACTTATGTTGTACTTGGTTATTTTTCTAACAGAAAATTGTTTTCTAACAGGGAATTCTTTTTTTTAATTTTATTTAAATTTAAAAAATCTTATTTTACATACCAATCCCAGATCCCTCTCCCTCTCATCCTCCCAATGCCTCCCACCAACCCTCCATCCCACCCCCCCATCCACTCCCCAAGGAGGGTGAGGCCTTTCACAGGGGATCATCAAAGTCTATCACATCAGTTGGGACAGGACCTACACCCTTCCCTGGTGTGTCTAGGCTGAGAGACTATCCCTCCATAGGGATTGGGCTCCTAAAGTCCATTCCTGCACTAAGGATAAATACTGGTTCTACTGTCAGAGGTCCTATAGACTGCCCTGGCCTCCCCACTGACACCCACGTTCAGGGGGCCTGGTTCAGTCCTAGGCTGGTTCCCTGGCTGTCAGAATGGGATCCATGTTCTCCCCCTGGTCAAGTCAGTTGTTTCTGTGGGTTTCCCCAGTGTGGTCTTGACCCCTTTGCTCATCATTCCTCCCTCTCTACAACTGGATACCAGGAGTTTGGCTCAGTGTTTAACTGTTCTTTATCTTATTGCCCCTGTTTTGGCTTTCATTGATGACATATACAAAGGAAGAAATTGATACAGAAATCCCCATAGGAGTAACAGAAATGACAAAGGTCCTAGAATAAGTACAATAGTAGAAAAGCCGACCTGTGTCCCAGCATATTTATTTGCTCCTCATTATGCTTGCTCATAACAAAAACTAGGTGATGCATTCAGCTCCAATTCATAATGCTATGCTACCAGGATAAGCAGATTATTAAATCGTTTTGAAAACTTCCAATGTAGATGTCAGATTATATTAGGAGCTGGTTAATATTTACAGCAAGTGATTTTATAATCCTTCAGAACAGTAAGGCTTTGGGGCAGTATTGCTTATTTTATGTACATATATCACATCATATTTATTGATATTAATAAAGTGCACTGAGTGCATGTGCTGTTTTACCCTCATAACTTTAACTTATATAAATCATTAATCACAGCCAAACACCCCTTACATTTGTTCATTTGCATTCCCTCTAAAAGCATAAAAACAAAATATGTTTAGAAGCCTGAATATTAATGAGGCAGCAGGTGATTTATTATGAACTTGCTTCTGCTTCAGTGGCCAACCTCCTGAGAAAGACAATAGGGGCTCTGAGAAGACATGAGTTAAAAACAGGTCTAGTCACATCCCTGCTCGGCTATAAACTGGTTATTTAGCTGGGCTGTCTGAATTGAACTAGTGTTCCCCATGCTCCTGGCGGGTAGGGTAGGGTTTGGTAAGTAAACAGAAGACAGTGTCTGCCTATATCTTGATATAAGGGAGGAAAAAGTACATCATATTTATTTGGCTGATACTAAAATATAGCTCCGAAGCAAAACAGAAAACAGGAATAGTTAGATGTAATTTACATTTTTTTCTAATTTTGAATAGACAATTCAGCATGATTATATATTTATTCATTTTATTTATTTATTTGGCTATACTCCAGCTAGCATCATCTTAGGCAAATTATCACTATCTGTTTTACTTGACATTTAGGGAACTGACTCATTCATTCCATCTTTTTCTGGATAATAAAAAGGAAAGGAACCCTGAGCAGTAAACAGTGAATTTTAAAGTCTGGTTCCTTGAGACACTGGTAAGAATCTGTTTTCATTCCATTTAGATCCTTATTCCATGGACTCTGAGAGACTAAGTCCTTTGCCAGAAGTCACTGAATTAAACTGTGTAATTCTTAGTAGTATTGTGTATGGCTACACAATTGAGTCAGGACTTGCAAATGCCAGTCTCTCCCCCCGCCTCGTCCCCCGTGGCAATCTCTCCCCATTTCATCAACAATGCTGCTAGCAGGTCAGGTCAGGCCAGCTTTTAAAATGTAGGTAGCTGTGTTCTTACAAGTCTATGAACATAGGTTGTCACAGATCATCATAACTCTACTGCCTACACAGATGTATTAAGAATTTTTTGTAGATTGATACAATACTAATTCTGGAAATAAAAATCTAGCTATATCAATAAGTAAGTGCTACACATGTAAAGAACATCCTTTTAACATGAAACAATTCAATAAATTCAATATAGCTTAGATAACTGCAGTCTTTCTACTCAGACCTCCATACCTAGCATTTAGATTGCATGAATGTGTGTGGCAGGCTGACAAAAGAGATAGTAAAGTAAGGGAGAAATAAAAGCCTAGAACACTAGCCAAGTCATTCCTCTGGGAAAAAACTTTTTTCTAATTCAGAAGAACTATGTTTTTTGAAATTACTGCTGGCTAGGGTTGATGTTGAGACACCCACCACATTGGCGGAGCTAGATTGAAAACCTTGGTTGTAAACAAAAGTCTGAACTCAATTAATTAAATAGAAAGAAAACTAAATGTAATTTTAATACTTGTGATAACATAAACTTAATAAAATCTAATTTCTGAATGTTAATTTCTATTTAGACCCAGATAAAAATCTTTGGATTAAACTCAAGTTTCAATTACTGTTGATCATATTATCTTACAATTGTTCAAGATGAGATTTTCTGAACAGAGATGACAAGAAGGAGGTATGAATGAAAAAGATGGCTATACTACCTTCCTACTAGTGCCAGAATACAGAGGTGAAAAGAAAAAAGATTTATTTGTATATAGTCTGGGAGGAGTTGGGATTGAGTACAGCCATAGCCTTCCAACAAAATAGTAAATATTTAAGCAAAGCAGTAAATAGCCTCTAGCTGACAGTCAAGTTTGTGGACAGGCCGGCTTCACTCAAAGTTACATTTGGCTGAAACTCTACATTCACCATACAGCTTGTCTAAAGATTCCTTTCCCAGTTGGGATAGTGCCATCAGAAATGGTATTTTGGTAGTGCTCCTGGCTACAGGAACTGCAGAGCCTCCTGGGTAAGTAACACAATGTCAAGCACATGGGAAAAAAAAAAAAAAAAAAAAAAAAAAAAAAAAAAAAAAAACCTTTGGAAATGTCTAGGTAATATTTATGGAAAAAATTCATGAATACAGATAGTTGTTTTTTTTTTAAGACTGAAGGCTAAATAGACTTGGGAAGAGAATACATAAAATTTTACCCTGAAAATTGCCAATTAAGTTTTCAGGGTTTTATATAGAACCTAAGAATAAAGTCCAAATAGCAATCAAGTTTACTATACTGGGAAATCTAAAATGATAATTTGATATAGTCAATATGTACAATGCAACAAGTTTATTCAGAAAAGAATATCTCAGATGGGAAAACAAGGAAATCAAAATACCAACAAGAACCAGTAAAAGTGTCTCTGCCCTGTATGACAGATTCTTAACAAATCCTGAGATTGTCTGAAAGGACATAGGTTAAGACATACAAAAGAAATGATACTCCTCTGATATACTGAGCAGTAATATGATTGGAAAGAAAACCTAAATTAAAAATAAAAATTTCTTAAACCATAGCTTGTAGTTTCTAAGGGTCAGTACTCTTAAAGTAAAAAAAAAAAAAAACAAGATGTGGATATAGAATTTCTAAATTGTATAGTTGAACCTAAGAATGAATGGGAAGTTAGAATATATGAAGATGCAAAGATGTAGTATCTAAGATGTTTATTTTAATGATAGAGGATATAATCTGTAGAGTGCACAGATGTGATTCATTATATTGCTGGGGTGACTGACGTGTTTATCTGAAAATATGAATCTTGGATGTCACATACCTAAATATGTTACACACGTCTGAATGCAGGGAAGATATGATCCTGGGGAATAAGACAAGATTAAAGAACGAGGTTAAAGACTATCTTTAGAGATATAATTTGAAGAAATAAAAATTTTAAGTATTCTAATCATTTGAGATTTTAAAAAATCAATGGGATGAACTGGGGAAATCTTCTGAGGCTCTATTCCTAGTTCAGATGTTATTTGGCAGTTGACTGCTATGGGGGCAAGGAGGAGCCACTTCTCGTTAAGAGTGTGGCCACTTGAAGGATGTTCTGTGCCCCTAAGGATTACCCCATACCCATGAGCATATGGTCAGCATTACTTGAACTCTGTAACTTAAAATAATAAAAATAAATAAATAATCTGAAGACATGAACTTAGATAAGGAAGATGTGATAGGTGGTCTTGAGTGAGAGAGGAATGAGGGATCTGACTGAAATACATGGTATACATGTATGAAATTTTCAAAGAAAATAGATGAGAATAAAATAGAGTTCCTCAGCTGGCATATTTGGGGGTGTGTATGTCACAGGAAAATTAACACAGGAAATGAAGAAAGCCCTGTGACTTCAGAACCACTAATATTGCAAATAAAAGGAGAATATATATTTTGGAAAAGGATCACAACCTGAACACATGTCAAATCAAACACTAATTTCCACCCTTTCCCTAGTTCGTTACTGAATTAAATTATTCATGTTACATGAATTTTAGACTCTGAAACTAACAGCTTCCTTAGATATCTCCAGAATAGGAATCTGAATGAACAGACTAACATATAAAAATCAGTCAGTACAAAATATGTTCACGGGCTGAAGAGATGGCTCAGAGGTTAAAGGCTAGGCTCACAACCAAAATATTTTCACTTCCTTTAAATTTATTTCAAATTGGCCCAGTCATACTCAGATCATTGTATTCAAACTGATGAAATTTGAGGGGATTAGCAGCAAGGAAATAAAAATTGATATTATGTAATATGTTTGTGTTTAATGTCATAAAATAGCTTATTAAAGCATTTATTACTAAACTTATATAGCATGGTAACTTTACATTAAATCTGATTACCACACTAGACAAAAAAATTAATTCTCATAGTGTATTCATCCTCACAATAGGCCAAAAGACTGGCATATTCAAATCCTATTGTCTAAACCTTTCTAAACAAAAAATGCTTCTATGGATGCTGGGACCTCTGGAATTTAGACACATTGGCAGGATCTTATACTGATAAAGCTATTTTTCTTTGTAGAATCAAACTGCAAAACCTCTACAGATGGCATTATTTAACAGCAAATAACATTGGTCACACAGGTAGCAAATTAATTTCAAGGCCAATGAAGTATGAATGATGATTTAGAGAATAAAGTAAGAAAATATGATGTTTCTGTAAATTTTCATGGAGAAAATATGAGCATCATATTGAAAATGAAACTTCTTGAGAGGAATGTTCCAAATGAGCTTAATCTAGCAAATAAAAATTTGGTAATGTAAGAAATAAGACTGTAAGCTTTAATGCCTTTTCTTGTATTTAGATGAATATTTCATTCACCATTTTTACTTATCATAAAGCAATACAGATAATTTAAAGTCATCACTAGTTACAGTTTTTTTTTATCTCAGTGACTCAAATAAACCCAAACTTCAACAAGATTAGAGTAAACCATGCATGTTGGGATCAAACTCAGCTTGCATACCATTTGTCCTAGCATTTAATTTGTAACTCTTCAAATATAAGGTCATTTAGTGATCTAGCAGAATAGCTGTATAATCTGTTTCTAAGTAGCACTATAAAACAGGCTGAAAACAGACTGATCAATTTGTCTGACATTAAGACAAGAATAACAATGTTAGTAACAAAAATAATTTTCTCCATAAAATTGACAGCTTCCCAGATAAAACTGTATTGTATGTCCTTTCCAACACTCACTTCAAACTGTATTCACTTGTTTCTATGGCAGCAAAGTTATTTCTGATCTCTCTTTTCTTTTCTGTCTCTCTCTCTCCTGTCCTCTCCCATCACCTCTCTCTCTTTGCCTCTCTCTGTCTCTGTCTCTCTCTTTCACACACACACATACTGAATACACACCCACATGCACATGTAAACGAGAGAGAGAGAGAGAGAGAGAGAGAGAGAGAGAGAGAGAGAGAGAAACAGAGAGATACATTGATTCTCACAAACAAAATGACAAATTATGTTAACTTGATTTCAACATTTACATGTTCATCTTGGAGCATCTCATCCACAAATGTTACAAGAACAAAACATTATAAACATTATTTTCACTCTAGAATTTTAAATATCCAAGATTGTCTGGATATATGTTTTGACACTAAGGTTAATTTTACCTTATCTTGCCTCAACTATGTATTAGACAGTACATTTTTTCTTTCACAAACATGATAAAATTGCCTTATACCTAAGACAATTGGGAATCTATGATGCTTAGCAGACTATACAGCCACATAATTGCCCATTTTCACTGCTTCTAATGAGGCCTAACATCTCACCAGTTTATAGCAGTGGCAGCTGATTAGGAAAAATAAGTTCCTCATCTGATAATCTCTCTCAGAAAAGATTTCCTAAAAATTCATTGTTAGAAATTTCTAAGAATAGTGAAATCCAATGCTGCACTCACCAGGGTTCATACCCTTACAACATTTCTAGTACATAGAGGAGAGGTCAGAACATGTATGTGTAGCAATGCATTTAAGAACTTCCTACATTCTTCAGAAAAGTAATAATTATGAAACATCATTCCTAACTACCTCTGTTGAGTGATGCAGAGCTGTTTATGTCTCCAGTGATGAAGGACGACTCTGACTGCTTTCTGACAGTGTCATTCCACATTCTCCGAATTCGGCTCTGAATTGAGAAGGAAGGAGACAAACTCATGAGAAAGTGACTGTTCACACTCCTTTTAAAGTTTTCTTTCAAAGTTATTTGAGGTCTCTGTCCCTAGCATCTAGCAAAGAAACATTTCTACACACTTACAATGCAGTGGAATGAGAACATCAGAAATAAAATTAGTGATTCTCTTTTCTTGTCATTAGGTATTTTCATAGATGCTCATGCCATAACAACTAAAACTGTCCATAGAGAGCAAAGGCAAATTACTATACCAGTGTAATCAAGTTAAACACAGAGATACTCCAGAAAACTATAGTTTCAAAAGTTCAGCAAATTAAAAGTTCAGATCTCACAAGAATCTGGTAACAAAAGAACACAGAATACTATTGAAATGCTACTGAAGGTACATTTTCCAGAAGTTTTTCAAGGAGACCAATGACATTTCAGAGATTACCTACCTCCTGACTTTTCTTTTGAGGAGTTAAAAGTAGATCTCTCAGCTGTATTCATCACTGCACGGTAGGAAGCTTTATAGATACCTGAACAGTCTTCCATTGTGATTTCTATTTCTAAATTAAATATCTAAGAGGCAGATCACTGACAAAGAAAGTTTTAGTCCTGGGGAGATGTTGTCTCTTTTATTGTGTTTTGCTATTTTGATTAAATTAGATATCAAAAAATATTGATCTTCTGGGGAGGAAGCAACATAGTTCCAAAGGCTGTTCCCAAGATGAAAAGGTTAAGAAACTTGGTTGCTACTAATAGTGAACCAAAACTCACAAGCTGGCCATGTTCCAACTATATTTGAATAGTAGGGGTAGTTAATCTTAGAATATCTGGCAATTACATAAGTCTTAAACTATTTTGAAAAGTATTCCAACATATTGACTTATAACACATATTTCTCTCAGATTGAAATACAGACACATGCATACACAGCAAAACTCAGTATCATCGATGACAACAGGGTATGTCTTAGAATAGGGAGGTGAAAGACAAAACTATACCATATCCATACAATAAGATACAACTTTACAGAAAGAATAAAGGACATACTGTTGCAGAAGAGACAATGAGAATAAGTCAATGAAATTATAAAATTCAGAATTTGTTGAGAGGCTTACAGATACTTTAAGGAAATGCCACACGGGGGAGAAAACACACCAGGGACATTTTGTTTCCCAATCTGAATACTGGCTCAACAGGTGTTCATTCATTTAATATATTCCACAATTTCATATTAATCACACACATTCCTTTATTTTTAAAGTGTTATATCTTAAAAGGTAAATATATCTAATTGCAATAAATAAATGATGAAAGATAAATAACAAAACAATCACAGGTTGATCAAAGTGAGTAGAACATTGCCCTGTTCCAAAGTATAAAATCTCCCTGTATATAATCCTATAAATTGATGTTGGCCTGATTCCCATATTATTAAACTTTTGTAAGTAAGTACCTGGAAGTGATTCTGATTCTTTGTTTTGCCAGTCATGTCCCGCCAAAACTACAGTGTCTATATAGTATTTGTTACATATGGTGGATAATATCTTATCTCTTCTTTTTCTATGCCACCTCTTCAGCTTTTCAAAATACTCAAAATAAAATCTAAAATTGCAATCACAATACTTTGTGATGTATCTCTTATGCTTTCCCATGGCTTCATCCCACATACATCTTCATAATGTTACGTTCTCCCAAGCTCTCTGAGGAATTGGTTAGCTTTCTACTGTTCTTTTCTTTCCTGAATTTTCCAGTTTCCTTGGCCTCAAGTGTCACATACTAAAGTCTTCTCTCACCTTGAATTGTGTTTTCCTGAAATCCCTTCTTTGATAGAGAATACTGCTTAGATGTTGAGATAAATATCAACCTCAAAAAATTTTTTTCTCCATGACTGACTCTGTGAATCCATCTGGGAACTTCACATTATCATTTCATTTCTCTCTCCAGCAGCTTTCAAACCTGATTTTAGTTGTGGTTTGGTAGTTAATAAATTCTTGTCAATCAACATGAGAATTAAAGTTATAGAATATAAGGGAAGTTACCTTTTAACCATTTTATCCCAAGAGTTTGAAAGATTTATGGCACCATACAGGAAGCACTTAGTATTTTAAATTTAAAAATAAAATACCTAGAAATTATTATGTTACAGGGTCTCTGATACAATATGCCACAATTTTTTTCATTTATAATGTTGAAAATTTTAACATTTTCTTACAAAAAGTCACAGTTAATACTGAAACATTTATTTGCTTTTAAAAGGATTTGGGGGATTAATTTTTATTTATGGGGGAGTTTTGCTTGTATGAATGTCTGTGCACCACATGCATGCAGTGTCTGTGGGGGCCAGTAGAGGAGACCAGATGCCCTGGAACTGGAGTTACAGATGGCTGTTCCATGCCATGTAGGTGCTGGGCATCAAACACAGAGGAGCAGTGAGAACTCCTTAACTCCTGAGATATCCCCCACCATCATTTTTTGTTTTACTCTGACAGAATGTAAGAACCTATCACTTATGTAAAGTCATATTGCCATGACTAACAAAACTTAGCATTATATGATATATAAAAATAATATAGAACTGTGTTATAAACTGCAAAGGTGTAACAAATATACATCTTGAAATATATGTGACATTCTACCCTGTAATAGGGACACTGAGAAATCACAGTAACCATCAATTTATTGAACACCTACAATTATTCTAAGTAACATTAACTTAATCAAGACAGACTAAGCCACTACTACTATTGCTACCATTTTACACATGGGAAAAACTGAGAAAAGCATATTAAAACTTTGTTGTGACTAAAAGAACAGGTAAATACCTGTAACCCTAGCACTTGGAAAGCTGAGGAAATAGGGTCTCAATTTGTGGACCACATAATGAGACTCTATATAATAAAAGGAAAGGAACAATAAGAAAAAATAATTTTTTAAAATATCATGTCTGATAAATAGTAGGACCAGGGTTCAATCAAACCAAGGTGTTCTCTTCCGCGAAATTACTTAACTGCATTGCCTGATCTCAGTCTTCAGAAGTATTGTTAAATATCTAATCAGTCTGTTATAATCCAACTGAAACTTTTGAACATTATATGTTCCTAATGATATTTGTCAATAAATTGACCAGAGAGTGATAGGTAATGAGCTAGTACTGTGGAATGCAGGGAATGCAGGCTGAGTCCAATCAGGCCGGCCCACATGCAGACTATCAGACATTTTAATTTAAAGGCTGTTGAAACTGTTACTGTAAAAAGAGGGAGGGACAGGAGTTACTCAGTAGGAATAAAGTCACAATTCATTAGATGGGGATGCTGCTTAAAGCATCATCCCGATTTGTCCTTATTTTAATGTTCATATTCACGTGTCTGATGTACAGACTGAAAGATCTAAACTCACAAATATCTGCCCACCTGAGTGAGCACATCTTTAAACCCCTACTTTGTGACTCTGAAACCTCAGAAAGTTATGAAAGCAACAGATTACATTTAAAGTGCTAATGATTACACAGTATGCCTGGACTAAGTTTTATGATTTGTGGTTATTAAGATATTTAAGATAGACTGATAAATTTTGAAAGTTATAGGGTACTTGTTAAAGTTTAGTGGGGATTATATTAGATTGATATTAGGCCTATGGTTTTATTTGCAAAATAAAAGTCCATTAAGTTTGAAGATAGTGTTTATGATCCACTTTGATTTATGAGTTCCAGAGCTAGCAAGGTCTTTGGATCTCAGTCACTTGATATGGTTAAAATAACCAAGTGTTTCATTTGTAAATGAAAATTTTAAGATGAAAAGAATCGGGTTTGTTAAGATATAAAAAGAATTGTTTACATAAACTTAATTTATCAAGCTTTGTAAATAAATTCAATGATTAAAGACATTTGCTGGAATTGTAGATTGGAGGTACACTGTTTGCCCATCATGTGCAAGAGCCTTGGTTTAATGTATAACACTACAATAATAGTAATAATAAGAAGAAGAACAGAGAATGCTTCATTTAAACTGTACTTATTATTATCTACTTAATTTAAACTTCATAGGAAAAATCTAGACATTATCATATTTGCTACTGATTCATGGAAGATGAGTTTGCCAGTCCCAATACAAATTCACTCATGACTCACACAATCATACATTGTGGTCTTGGGAAATGGCAGTCACTTTACCTAAAAGCTTATAATGTGTGCTTAGTCAGGGACAATTTAGCAATGTGTCCTACTGAACTTGGGGGGATGCCATAGACCATTAATGCCAAAGACGGTTTGGTGGTGTTCTTTTTTTGGTTTTTCGAGACAGGGTTTCTCTGTGTAGCTTTGGAGCCTATCCTGGCACTCGCTCTGGAGACCTGGATGGCCTTGAACTCAGAGATCTGCCTGCCTCTGCCTATTGAGTGCTGGGATTAAAGGTGGTATTCTTAAACACACTGGATCATTCAATTTTCAAGCACATCCATTATGTGAACTACAATTTTTCCCCAAACGTCATATTTTGCAACTTTTTTCTTTTACATTTTTACTTTATTTATGAGGGAGTTTTGGTTATATATACACCTGTACACATGTATACAGTACCTGTCAAGGTCAGTATGGGGTTTGAGATCCCTTGGGACTGTGAACCATATGTGAGTGCTGGAAATCAAACCTGGGTCTTCGGAAAAAACATCCAGTACTCTTAACAGGGGAACTAGTCTTTCCACTCTCATATATCACTTATTTATGTTTTTATGGTATATAGCTGAGAAATATTATATCCATTAAAGTATCTAAGACATTTGTGGATCATATGTATAAAATATAACTTTCTGTAAATTTCAGTTCTAGTAGCAAATTTCTAACTCTGTTTGCTATGGCCATTATTTGCCATAAGCAATGTGAATTTAGACTGTACATTTCACAATCTAAACATTTTTTATTTTAATTTTTCTTTTGAGTGTTCCATGCACGTATACAATGTATTCTGATGAGATCACTTCTCTAAACCCTGCTCCAACTTCTCCTAAACCTTCTACCATACTCCCTTCCCAACTATATATCCCCCTTTTGTTGTTGTTTGTCTGTTTTCATTACGATACCCTCAGTCTAAATAGTGCTGCACATTTATTGGAGTTAGAGTTGAACCATTTATTTATTGGAGCATGTGCTGCATACCAGAGTCCCCAGCCTTGAAGCACACTGACTTTCCCTTCCCCATCAGCCATTATCTGAGGGTATCTCTCAAGTCAGACAGTAGTCTTATGAGCCCCTCCCACATTCTATGTTTTCCACAATATTTATGTAATTTTTGTTCCTCCTGACAATGAAGCCGAACTCTTGATGTGGCAAACACATGGGATGGGGTAACCAGAAAGTGACCAAAGGCAAGATTATTTCAGCTCAGGGAGCCAGTTGTATCATTTACCTGTGAGCCTGTGGAGTACCTTCCTGGAGTTCGAGAACCAGATGTTTTCCCTGAGCCAATCGAACTCTCCGTGCTTTTCCCGCTACAGCAATGCGTTCGCAAGCATTTCCCATACTCTTTGCGTACCTAGCCAATGAAATGTTAACTTCTATTAGAGCTTCATCCATTTCCACTAAGAGGTAAGGTATAACTTGTATATGAGCTTTTATTTTCAAGAATATAATCACTTCCTAATTCCACAAAACAAAAACTGTTGATCATCTATTTCCAGTACAAAATAGTAAAATTCATGTTGCCCAGCTTAAAGTTCACTCTACTGTAGCCTTTGTAAATACACACACTGCATCAGTAACACCCAGTGGTATTACCCTGTAATTCAAAGACCACACAATTGAAACTTTCAAGACACTGTCTTTAGCTTTATTGATTTGAGCATGACTTCTTGGTTCAGTGGTATTTTAACTATTGCTCTTTAGATAAAAATCAGTGAGAAAGTTGAAAATAGTGAGGTAGAGAAGCCAAGAGACCAAAAAGGAGAAAAGGATTTAAAATTTAAGGAAATAAATTACTTAGTACAAATGGTAGAAGGTAAGGACATAGCTTAGAAGTGGAACACTTGCTTAGTGTGAAGCCAGCATCCCTACTCACACATAAAGAACAATGAGAGATATATAAAGTTAAACCAAACATCAATGAAGAGTGCCTTGATGGGCATTCTTAGTGGGGACCAAAGAAGACTTCTCAAAGATGGTTATGGAGACAGCACTGAAAACAATGTGTAGAAGTTTTCTTTTTCCAAGATAAGAAAGAGACAAGAGAGAAAGTGGAATCCTGTTCTAACCGTATGTGACAAATAAAAAATATGTAATTAAGAAGTTATTAATAATCAAAAATATCTGCTTGGTATTGGTTATTCTTAAAATAATCTGTCAATAATTTGATTATAATTTGGGAAGCATTAAAATAATCCTCACACAAAGATCCATTTGATCGAATGACTTGGAAATGGGTATTAAATTTTTGAAGCATCTTTAAGAACTTTAATGTTCTCTAATCTCACTTGCTATGGCTGGTGCACCCAGCCAATGACTGTGTTCCTTAACCTGGGATGTTTTTTAATTGAAACAAATATTGTAGCAGAAAGAAAATAAAGGAGAGAAATTTGGAGAAGCATTCATCTTCCAGTTTACAACGAAATACTGCTGGATAAGTTGTAGGAGTTCATAGTGAACTATTTGCATTTTATAACAAAGATTAAATAGTCCGAACTGATTTTATAAACAAAAAAAAAATCTAGAGGCATGGTAATGGCAACCTCCATACCAACTGCATTTCTACAAGATTCAGTATACTAATTCTCTTTAAATTTCATAAATTTAAATTGTTCAATGTATGTCTTAATGAAAAAGATTAACTTGGGCCATGTCCATGAAGCATCTCATCTACTTCACATATGTCATCTGATAACCCCTACCTTACTTCAGTGAGATGTTTAGAATATAGAAGTCAGGAGAAAATAGGCCTTACTAATATAATATTTTTCCATACTTTCAAAGTCAGAATAAATATTCCTGGAAGCTCTGAGAGCATAATGAATAACTGGATTCATAAAAAAAGGCAACAGTAACCAATTTTACTGTACCCAGTGGAAGTATTGTTGATACTCCATACAATCCATATTGGGAAATTTTTCAACTCAAAGGGCTTAATTTCTATTGAGGAGTTCAATCATCAACAAGTAACCTTATAAAAATTTCTAAAGTGAATATTATATACTTAGCCAAAATATATAAGTAACTGCAAGAGCAAAGTTGTATTAGTGAAATTTAATCAGGAAGCTTTTATAGATATTTCTGTGACGAAAAAGCCAAGTATTTGAGTACTTTCGTGAGAAAATTTGTCTACTTTCTGAAACTAAGGCATGTTCTTCATACTAAAGGAAAATTCCACCAATTTTTCTCTTAAAGTAAAAGAATATGATTATTATTTATTATAAACATAAAGATATTTTCCTATTAATGACTTAGTAAAAGTATCTATTAAGTGTCCTATAGTCAATAATTTTCTGTGATTTTGTGACCTGCAAAGTTTTCTGTTGGAAACTTAATCTCCAAATTATCGTGTTAACAGTATCAGACATAGGGACCCTGGGAGGCAATTAATATTAGATGAGTTCCTGGGGTGGCAATAGTAGCTCTGTGTGAAGAGGAAGGCCTCCCTCCTTGCTGCTTGGTCTAGGTTGCCATAGGATGATGACCACACAAGTTTAGCACCTCAGTATGAGCTTCTCTGTCTCCAGACGGGTGAGATAAATAAAGTTCGATCCTTTATAATTACCTAGTGTGGCCATTTCATTACAGTCACAGAAAATAGACTTAGTCAATGTTACTAAAGTGTTGAAGCAAGACTCCTATCAATGTATTTAAATTTTTAGCATACACATTTAAAATGTAATAATCACAACTGGTATTGTGGAAAATGAAAGGCAGCTAGGTCAATTAGTCCCATGAGCCCCAATAGGGAAGCATGTTAACTTGATGCACTTGATGCACACACTTTAAAACCTGGTTTGTTGGATTGACAAATATAATTAAAATTCTACACTTGGTTTGGAGTCCTACAGGAGAATCTTAACATGAACATTAAAAGCAATTTTAATGTTTTTAGTCAAGACTTTATGTAAGATAAGACAAATACAAGAAATAAGTAAGGTATAAATATTAGATAATAAAATACAGTCAAATCAATTTATTTATAAAGTACAAAACATAAGCTTTGCTGCTCTATAGGTCCTTTTCACGTTAACTTTAAGATTTAAAATTTATTTGTCTTCTACTTTTCTTAATGTATAAAAGAAGGATGACAGGTAAGCTTAATCTGCAATTCACTATGTACCAAGATCTTATGGCCATTTACCATGGACCCTTATTCCTATGGCCATTTTTCAACACCCTTTTCACTATCCAGATTTGACTTCTACCATCTTTCTGTTTCTCCTAGAATCTGTTATGGTTTTCTTCTTTCCAATTCTACATATCTTTCAGAGTTTTCAGTATCCCTGAATTCCCTAATGCCTATTAAAATGCAAATGACCAGGCTGTGAAGCTTTCTTCTGTCCTTAATTTAATAATGTGTGGTCTGGATTCTCATTCTATTCCTCTGACACTTCTTTCTATCTTTTCTCTTACTATGTGCCTGTCTCTTCCTCTTTAAAACCCATTCAGTGCAGCTAATTACTATCTGGTGGCCATACCTAGTTGTTCTACTTCTGCATACACAAGCTAAGAGTTAAACTGTCTTTTCTACTGCCCCTAGAAGTTTAGTTGGTACCATCTGTGGAGCCCTGTCTGACAGAAAGTGCATAGAAGTGATACAAGCCACATCCAGATGGTTTTCACAAGATTTTCTTTCATTCCCAGATTATTTGCTGGATATCATCAACCATGATGACTACAAAATTCTATGTTGAGAACTGGTTAAGCCTTTATCAAGCTTATGCTTTCCTGGGGTATTTCATCTAATAGGGCAATGAGAGAAAATAAGCATACATTGAGTTGAGCTACTAACATTTTGGTGACATTTGGTATCATCATTTGACAGACTTCATTCATCCTATTCTAGCCTGTCTTTTCACTCTATCAGCATAAAACTCATCTGTTCTAATATGTGTAATCTCAATTTCCCTAAATATTGATCTGACTGATCATTATTACTTTGTCCTGTATTTGTGACCATAAGAAAACATTGTAGACATTTACTACCAGCTAAAATTGAAACACAATAAAATTCTGTTTTATTCTTGTCCACCTGTCCATCTTAATAAGTAGACATGAATCTCAATGCCTGTTTTGGACAGGACTTTTAGTTTTAGTCTTGAATAAAGAAACTTTGGAGATAATTAGTCCTTATTTTTCCTGTTTTCCAAAACAAAATTAAAGTATTAATTTCTGACATTAAAAAATATTTGGCACTTCATTTTAGAGCCATTTTTTAATTATTTCATAATTATTTTCATCAACTCCGTGTCACATATGAGAAAACTGGGATATGAGGAGGTTAATTAACCTGCTAAAAATCAAGGGTCTTTTATATGGAGTTCCTAAGACTGACACCCAGGCAATCTTGCTAAGGTTCCATGTAATAAAAGCTACAGAGACACATTCCTAAGAGGATTTAATTCAATCTATGGTTCAAAAAATATGAAACAATATATTTAATTACCAAAACTAGATTTTTAAATAATTTTTCATTCCTTTATCAATATATAAAATCAGAAAATTAACCTATTTACTTTGAGAAGTTACTCTCTAAAATACAACTTCCAATTTTCTTCCCAGTCGTGTACAAAGAACTTTGTAAGAAAATGCTTTTTTGAACATTGTACAAATGATAAAATGTAGTTTTGTTAACTTGAACACCCTTTCTAGCTATTATGTTTTTACTTTGTTGCCATTAGTATGTAAAAATAAATGAAATAATATGTTCCATTTTTTTGAGAAAGTAGAATAACATATTTCACTTAAAAATCAACAAAGAATGCTAGATGTGAATAGGTTGTGCATCCTTTATTATCATGAAATATACGGCATTTGGTTTTGTTAAACTGTAGCTTACCTTCTTCTGTAGGACACAGTGGAAAATGAATATAAACATCCCCTGTAGAGAATTGAAAATGGTGAAGAGATACGCCATGATGACTGTGCTTTCATTAATATACATGAGTCCAAAGGCCCAGGTCAATCCTAACAGGCAGAGCAGAGCTATTGCACCTATAACCCATGACCTGCAAAGAGAAGAGAAAATTTAGGGTTATCAAATAATTAGTCCTGAGTTAATACAACCATGTCCTATCAATGATAACTGACACTGGAAAAAAATTATCGTAAGTTTTAATGACATAAAATGTGAGATACATGGTATGTATAAGTGTTTAAGATTTTAATGGGACTACAAGTTATCAAGCTTGAGGTGATATACATGGATGAAAATGTTATGAACACAGAAATTCATTTAAGCAAAAGCAGATTTGTGCCATAAATTATTCATGTGTTTGTAATACATATGCAAATGGTATGGATATGTAATTAGGGTGAATGGGAAAGGAGAAAATATCTTGAAAGTTACATTAGTCTTCATCAGACTCCTTGGTATATTTGTTTGAGTGCACTTAGTCCGTATTGCTTCATCTAATACATCTGTATACCATTTTTCCAAATTTCCTTTTCCCTATCAAAAATTACTATATTTGCTGGAAAATACTAACTCTGACTAGAAAGAACCACTATTTAAAGCACATATTTAAAGCTGAAGAAGCCTTTTTACCTAATCCTATAGACACGTAGAACAAGTACAGAAAATAATAGGTTAAAAGAGAAAAGTTCCACCCTACTGGCTTTTGGGTATTACAGTGTTGATTATGTTGAACTAGGTTTTTCAAAATCAGGTCTTTAGCCTTCTTATAGACCTAGGATGTCATCATCTCGTAGAAGTGTCTACAAACTCAGAAAGAGGATGAAGTTTAGAATGGGGATGGACTGGTATGAACAGAGTAATATAGCAGGCAGTGTAAGCTGTCACTTTTACTCCATTTGCTTTGTTTCCTCCAAGCTGCCATGTTTAATGGTAATAAGTGAGTGACAGGAGGTCATATATTTGTGGTCATGCTACACATTTACTAAGAATATAAAGTAAACTATTTTGATGGATGAGTCTCTGGTAACTGGAAATGGAACCCTTGTTAACTTGAAAGTAGAAGGGAAACTAGGACCCAAAGCATCCAAGTACCCTACACATTCGCAGGTCCATCTCTTGCTGTTCCAGAATCCCTTCTTTGAATATAGCAAGCTAACATTTCTTTTCAGTACCCTGTTATCTTTCATTTTTGTTTTTCAGGAGGAAAAATTTTGGGGATTTATTCTTTACAAAGAGAAAAGGGAAAACTACACAATTCACCATAATCTGAATTCAATTATTTTGTTTTTAAAAATATTTAACATATGGTCCCAGAGGCTTATTAAAATGGATTATATTGCTTTTTTCTTTAAAAATAATCAGGCATTGTATTTCAGATTTAAATGTCCACTAACTGTATTAGGTTTGAAACAAAATATCAAGACTATTGAATGAAGGAGGTTTGCTCTTGCATTTGGCACATTTGCTTATATGAATTAGAAAACACCTTAAATGTTAATATTTATTGCACAACTGAATTCCAAAATATGGAAACATAAAAACAATAGCTCTTGGGTTCTAACAGATATAAGAAAAAGGAAAAATGGAAAGAATCATCATTAAATTAAGAGAAAGTATCTACGTAGATTTAGAAACCAAAGGATGACACAAAAATACTGACATCAGCCATTATCCAGTAGAAAACACACAATGGATCTAAAGGTTAAATGGTCTAGAACTGCTGTAAGCTTTAATTTCCAAAGAGAAAGTAAACAAAAGCATGAAGAAGTAAGTGTGATGGGATCAGGGAATGGAGACAAAGGACTCTTCACCAGAAGAACAAACTGAACGTCTACAGCAAGGTAGCCCACAGGTGGCCAATTAATTGTAGTTGATTCCTGCAGGACAGTTAAGTTTTCAAATTATAGGTAAATGCCCAATTATTATTATCTCTCCATTTGTTAGACTGGTACAGACTTGTAAATTCGTTTCAGAAATTAAAATGTATTCATAAGCAATTAGTTCATCATGATAAGGGTGTCAATTTTCATAGAGAAAAGTTTACATGTATAAAGTTTAAATTTTAGAGGACCTTTCCCCCTTTTATAGGTATAGTTAACACAGAAAATCATTAATATTAATTGCAACTGGGTAGGTTCTTATCCATAAAATCATTTTAAAGATATACCACTGAGTCACGAAATAAGTTAAAACAAATGATACCTGAACACACAACAGAAATTTTGGACATATTCACCAAGGAAGAACACACCACAATTTGAGATATCCATGAGAGACAAGTCTGTACCACAAGAAAGTGCTGTTACTGAGGCATTGAGTTCAAGTGATAGCCCATTAACAGAGGTAAGGCAGAATTCTTTTTCCTTTATGGCAATACACCTGCAGTACTCTGCACGTAAGTTGTATGCCAGTGTTTCCTGCACAGTTTGCTCTTCTGCCTCAATGTGAATGACAGAAGCTCTAGTGATTTCTCAGTACTGATCTGACAGTTGGTTAATGGGACCACACTGATAAATGCAATTTATCAGCCATTCAGGTCATTCTTACTTGATGAAGGGTCTGTTATCCTCATAGCTAAAGAATGCATAGACATAAAGACAAGAACACCAACATTAGCATTTTATGATAAAGAATATCATGTGAAAAAAAATATCTTCCTGTTTGCCTCACCACAGGCCTCTATTCCCCACCTTCCTAAAAGGTGTCATAACCTTCCCTTTATTTCCAGAAGGTAAATCCTAAAATGACCATGAGAACTTAAATACCAGGGAATAAAATCAATTTTTACAATACTGCAATATCCTATGTGAGACTCAGCAATTCCATTTTTTCATCATGTGCTCATATTACTTGTGACTTGACAGAGACATTTATTTCTTAGAGATCACATTTCTCTAGAGAATGAGAAATTTTATGAGCAATCTGAAAAAAGGCTTGGGGGCATGCTTAAAATGATAGATGTCATGTCACTTAAAGGTATCCTTATTCTGTAATATTAGTGGATAAGATGACTTAATTATGGACAATATGCCTCTAAGTAATTTTAACACAGAGGTGATGATTAACCTGAGTTAAATCTGATCATTACAGCTCTTTTTTTCCCCTTCTTCTTGCCAGAAGCAATATATTTTCCTGCATCATGAATACACAAATAGTCTTCTCAGAAAGGCCCATCTGTGATGAATTTTGAATAAAGAGAACCACTGGTAAAAACTCACTCTCCAGAAGGATGAGACAGTAAATATTGAAATGAGATTGAATGAGAGCCTGGTATGTGAAGCCTGCTTGCCTTGGATTTACACACAATTCTGCTCAATCATTTACTAGATATTTGATGGTGGGCAGAAGCTAATCAACCTGTGATTGTGTCAGTTTATGCATCTATAAAGTGGTCATAATTACATAATTAGAATGTAAGTGTAATATGTAAAAAATTTTTGTAAAAAACAAATTCTTATCTGAGCAATAAAATACTTTTAATATTACTAGACTGTGTAAAGATACCCTCCAACTGAAAATATAAAATTAATGTAAAATTTCTTACCCAAAGGAGAAAACACTCAATACAAAAATATTGAGCAGTTAAATGCCAGATAAGGTGTTTAGGAAGTAATATGATGCAGGGAAAGAGATGGGTTGAAATAAATCAGTAGATGGAGCAGGGAGTGAATGAAATTATGTACTCCATGTAGTGAGTGCTAATCACAACTGGCAGTTTAAATTCATCAAAACAGAATAGCATCTAAAATTCCATTTCTAAGGCATACCAGTCATAATAAATGATCTAAAGCCTCACATAGGTGGTACATATGACATTGGACGATATAGTTTGGGAAAATACCATCATCAGAGAAAAGTTCTATTGGATAATGCTGAACCTGAACAGTTTAAGATCATTTAGTCCAATAAATATAATTGCAAGAGATGTTTAAATTATGCCATTAAAATGTGAAGATACAAGAACATCTAGCAAGTGTTTGTTTGCTATAATGTACCCAGATTTAAAAAATCAAGTATTTATTATATGTTACAAAACAAAATGGTAATATTTACTGTTATGCTCATTCCTATTGCATGAGTATATTCTGTCTATGAGGCAGATATAGGATTAGAAACATATTCTACACTAATTAGTCTAGAACAGTATCAAGCAGATAGATGTATCAGTTAGCAGATAAAGTTACAGGCAAAAACACCTTACAAAAATTATATCAAGGTTTACAAACGTTTAAAAAATTAAAGTATCAAGCAGATAGATGTATCAGTTAGCAGATAAAGTTACAGGCAAAAAAACCTTACAAAAATTATATCAAGGTATAGCCAGCTTGCAGCAGGATTCCTGAAATGTCACATTTTACCTTCCACATGGTAAAGTGTCACAAGAGAGAAATGAAGGTGGGATTCAGCAATTTCTACAGCAAGGCGAGCAACCTCAGATGCTCCACCAAGCAGAGTCTCCTAAAAGCAGTTTCACTCAGTTACTGCTGATGTGTGTTGTGTAATGTTCACTGGGAGGTGGACAGAAGTGAGTGTGACATTTCTAGGTCTTACCAATTAAGGGATTGAATTGGGGCTCCCTCTCCCTTTTGTTCTTCCCTTTGACGAGGACAAAGGCACAATACAGCCTCAGATGCAGAAACAGAAGCTTCTTAGTAACTCTGAGTTGATGCATGAGATTTAGGCTACTTGTTCCTAGACTCTGATGGGGAGGGGATAGTTTAAACCACTAGAGTTGGTACATTTTTACAGTGGTTTACCTTGTGAAATAATTAACATGTAAATTTTTATCTTTTAGAATTCTAAGCTTACATTTAACATAGAAATTCCTACTTACAGATAAAAAGAAACATCTGTGAGTTTTATCTACAGTAGGGCATAATTAACATACAACGATTTTAAGTCTACAGGTCACCTTTGATGGCCTATGTCTGTAAGTTTCAGCGTTTGGAGTGAGGACAGGTATTACGTTAGTGTAGAGAATTTAGGATTATTATCTGTCTTCAATTCCAAATTAAACAGGTGACAATGTTGTTATCACTTACCATAGCAAAGTTATATACGTTTGATTTCCTTATTTGCATTTTAAAGCATATTTATAGACTAGGCTTATAACACTGAATAATTTTCATTCTGGTTTCTGTCATTGATAAACAAACACTCATCCCACTGTAGGCTGTGGCTAATTTCACCATAATTATTTTAAGTTTTTATGGCATTATGGATACTCAGCTTTAAAAAGTTCTTGGTGGGCCAGGCGTTGGTGGCACACGCCTTTAATCCCAGCACTCGGGAGGCAGACACAGGTAGATCTCTGTGAGTTCCAGGCCAGCCTGGTCTCCAGAGCGAGTGCCAGGATAGGCTCCAAAGCTACACAGAGAAACCCTGTCTCGAAACACCCCCCCCAAAAAAAAAGTTCTTGGTGGAGATTAGAGGATCCTAATGGGTTATCTTTTAATTTATGTTACTTTATTGAAAGTAAAGTAAAATATACATATAACTCTAAAGACAAATGGGAAGATGGCCCTGTTTAAACAAGTTTTTGGGGAAAGTTTTTTTTTTCTATTCTCAGTGAGACTTCAAATTTTATTTAAATAGTACCATAAAATTTACACAAAAGTTGACATTAGAGTCTAGAAGAGAATATATACTAGTCTCTGTCACTTGATAACCTATGTATATAATTAAGAAAAAACACAAGCCATATAAATAAATAAATTGTAAGTTTATAAACAATTAGCTCAACGTGAATTTTCAAGTCAGTTTCTTCATCAAAACACTAATTTATAAACTAACAGAATGATGTAATAAGTCATAGTATCAATGTAAATAGATGATGAATAGACAGAGACATGAGGAAATCTAGTTAATTCCAAGATATTCTTTCTCTTGCTTAAGAAGCTATTGAGAAGCAATTGAGAAGCAGAGAATTACTTAGGATATATGCTTTTGAGAGAAATTCTACGTTGGAAATTAAAGCTATACAGATGATAAATTTTTCTATTTTAGTTTTCCTTTGGAAACTTACATGTCTTTGGACAGTACTAAATATTTTGCTATGCTTGATAAGTCTGGGAAAATGGAGTTATGAGAAATATGTTTGAGGGTTTAATTCTCAACTTCAAAGATCTAGTCATTGATAAGTCAAGTAAATAATAGGAAAGAAAGGATGCAGGCCAAACTAAATCTCCAAGTGCACTTGGAGGTCAGTGCACTTTAGATATGCCAATCCTTTGGTTTTGGTTGGCTTTCACTTGTTGAGTGTCATGTATGCTTCATGGAGCTGGAGGGCTGTTGCCATTCTGACTGGTCTCCTGATATTTAACACATATAATTTAATATATGTAATATTTAAAATATATGTGTGTATGTGTGTACACATATATGTATGTTTGCATGTATGTATGTATGTAAGTATGTATGTATGTATATCCTGTTTCATTGATATAATGTTAATTGGGCATATGCTTTCCAAGTTGAACATTTGACACTCAACAATCAACTGATGTGCTCTTACCTGGAGAAAAACACCTCTCCTGCTCCTAGCTTTCCTCAGTTATCCATAGTTATTCACATAGGGTTGAGGCATTGTAGTTTTACACAGCCACTGTAGCAAGTTCACTGATGTCCTTGTTCAGCTCACACTTGGACACTTATGTCAGTAAGACTTTATGAGCACAGCTTCTAACCTTACTAGGAGACACAATTTCATAAACTCCATGATCCTCTAGCTTTTACAATCTTTCCTCTCCCTTTTTTGTAACATGCCCTGAGGCTTGGTTGTGGGAATGTTTTTGTAGATGTGGTCATTGAAATTGGACTTTCTAACTCTATGTCTTGATAGACAGTGTAATCTTCATCACTTTTCAGAGGTCATCTTAGTTTTAGTTTTTGTCTGAGTCTTAGAAATCATTAATTCCTGAAAACCTGAGACTCCAGGGCTGATTTGGTAAGGGTCATTGGAATATAAAGAGATAAAACAACATAAAGCATTAACTACCCTCTGGATTTTTTATTCACCTCAGATGATATACAAAACTTCCAGGTAATTAAAGGAAGCAATGAAATTAATCATTTTTCAATGTCCTGAATGTGATTTGGAGGTTGAATTTTTGTTATGATCTCCCCTGAATCTCATGGTATTATCTATCACCCTTATTGTCACAAACTTGAAGCAGAAACATTCATCATATTTCTACAAATAAACAACCTGTTAGACATAGATTATAAGACAAGTATAAGAAAAATTAACCAACTATTTAAGATATACCCTTATTTAGTAGTGATTCCCATAAATGGAACTATGGGAAGCATGGCTACAAGCAGGGAGCTGACAAGCTTCCTACTTTTGGACAATTATTTTACTCTTTATAAGCGTCATTTTATACATGCTGAAATTTTCATACTCTTAATTGTAATAGGGGTATCTGAAGATGCCTTATAAATGCAGAAATGCAATCCCATATTTCTGTAGATGACAGGAGAAAGCTAAATATGTGTTCTGATAGCTTGTGTTCTGAAGATATGCATTACACAGTTTAAAAAAAGGTATTGAAGATTTGGAAACCTCAGTTTTT